CAGATTTACACTGCAAACCAATATCACGAACATATACCATATCAACAGGCTAATGTAATAAAATCAGTCATAGCAAATGGTACAAAGTATTTTATAAAATCTACCACTACTCACAATAAAAACTTAGCCATCTTCAAATAAAGGTAAAACTTAACCATTTTAAAGAGTATCTGTAAAATACTTACACTTAATGATTAAATTTAATGATAAAGATAGAAAGCTCCCCCCCCAAACAAGGTACAGATGGCTGCTCTTGTCATTCTTATTAAATGTAAGTAGGGGAAGTTCCTAGCCAGTGCAACTGGGCAGGAAAAAGAAACAATGCACAGAGAAAGAAAAATAAACAAATAAAATTGCCCCTATTCTCTATTTGCAGATTATATAATTATCTACACAGATCTTCCAAGAAACCTAAGAAACAAAACTTCTAGAACTAAGTTAAACAAAGCTTCAGGAAACAAAATCAAATTGCAAAACCAACTGCATTTCTATATAGTAAAAAGGAATACATAGAAACTAAAATTTAAAAAAATTAATGTTAATAAATGCTCCCAAATAAGTGAAACATTTAGGTCTAAAATCTAAAATAAACTGTAAACAAGCTCCATGTACTAAAAGTTACAAGATCCCAATGAAAGAAACCCAAGTACCAGTAGACCTACTTACAAGAGCCACACCCACTCCTGGATTCCAAGACTCACCAAGGTCAAATATAAAAACGCCACTTTCTCCCCAAATTCCTGTATGAGTCAGCAGTTTTGAGTACATACCCAGAACTCAGAGCAGTGCTCTAGCTTGTATCTCAAAGCTCCCCCAAATCCCATGCATTTGAGAGGTGGCTGGATCTAGAGCAAGTGATGCTGGGATTCAGGGTGCAAGTAGTACCTGCCCTAAAGGTGGGGAGCCTAGATGGAATATGAGGGACAGAAAGAGGGCTGCTGCTGCTTCAGTTGCTGCTGTTTGTATTCTGCTGCCTCCTGGTTGCTCTGCGATGCCCCTCTGCCACCCTGCCTTGGAGACAGCCAACGATAGACTGAAACCTCTACAAACCATGACTGAAATAAACTCTTTCTCCTTTAACTCTGGGTGTCAGGTATTTTGTCTCAGCAAGGAGAAAAAGTAACTAGAACAAGCAGCATCCTGAAAAGCTATATGCACACAGTCATAACAGCACTCCTTGCGAGAGGCAAAAGTCAGAAACCAAGTGTCCACTAAGGGATGAACGGATAAACACAATGAGGCACCTACACCCACTGGGGTAGTACTCAGCCCTAAAAAGGAGGGAACATGTTTCAACATAGGTGAACCTTGAGGACATTATGCTATGTGAAATAAGCCACTCACAGAAGGTCAAATATTGTTATAATTTCACCCAAAGTAGCCAAAACTAGAGACAGAAAGTAGAATGGTGGTTGCCAGGGTTGGTGGGAGAAGTAGATGCAGAGTTGTTCAATGGGTAGAAAGTTTCAGTTCTGCCGATGAAATAGTTCTCAAGACCAGCTGCATAACAATGCAAACGTACAGAACACTACTGAACTGCACACTTGAAAATAAATGGTTAAGATGGTTTTATGCTGCTGTTTTACTGCCATATAAGTTGTATTTTATTTAACATCTATATTGGTAGCCAGGGATTCCACTGCCTGCCTCGCAAGCACAAGATCCTGAGTTCGATCCCCAGTACCAAAAATAAATTCATACATACATACATACATATATACATAAACTGGAAATATTATCTCAACATGTAATCCATATGAAAATAATTAATTGAGAGTCTGGCATCTCCTGGACTTCTCTCAGGCACGCCCTCGGGTCTGCGGGACCCTGCTCTCCCACCCTAGGGAGCTCTCAATCTAAAGGATGGGCCTGATGCTTACCAGCTGCACAAGAAGTACCCTAAGATGTTGAAGTGTGTGAAGGGGAACCCCAGTAGCTCCCACACAGGAATTCTGGTATGTCAGCAAACACGTGTAAAGTCGAAGATACTATCATGATATGGGGGAGTTGACATCATCCATACTGACTTTTCTCCACTTCTATTTCAACTGTACTGACCACACACACTTCAGAGTATAAATATGTATAGGATTTAATGTGTAATTTGCATAAAAATGGCATAAAACATTCACCCCAAAAAATCAATCAATGAACCAACACACAGGAGTAGCTTTTATTAAAATCATAAGAGACCATTTGTCAAGTTAATCCTCCCAGAGTGTATGGAGGCTAAAGTACAAAAACTGCATTTCCTCACAATAAATGTAATATACGTTCAACGTTTCTTCAAAAAAATCTAGAGTTCCAGAGGAAACATGAAGATTTTCTATAAATGCCTGACTGCTACGCATCTCTGGTTAAAACTTTTCTTTCACACCAGAACAAAGATGCAAGGATAAAACTTCACGACGTGCTGCTTTCTACCCCAAGGCACTGAACAGAAAGCTATTCTGCAGCTGTAGGAGCCCGTGGCTAAGCAGAACCTCTTTGTAACCTCACATTCATGTTCCAGTGGTTCAAACTGATCATAAAGACTTCTTTGTGAAAAATGCATTTTGCAATAAATTATCAAAAGCATCACTGAATATCTTAATGGAAATGGCTCAGTAAGGAATACTAAACAAGGCCAAAAAGATATGAGAACTACTTATCAGCTCAGTGTTAAGTGGTCTTCAGAGAAAAACACTGTGAAGATGGCCAGGGAAAGGAGTTTTGGACTACAAAAATCATTAACTTAAGCTGGGCTTGATGGTGCACACTTGTAATACCAGCTACTTAGGAAGCTGTGCCAGGAAGGCTGACAGTTCAAATCTAGCCTGAGAAACTCAGTGAGATTTTTGTCTTTGAACAAATAAACAAGGCTGAGGTATTCCAGTGGTAGAGTACCCTGGGTTCCATCCCCAGTACTGGGAGGAAAAAAAAAAAAAATCAATTAAATAAACGCACATTTGCCTAAGTCCTCCCCTTTCACTAGTACTGAATTTCCTGCCTTTCTCTCTACCCTAACTCAACCTCCCCCAAAACAAATCTCCTAAGAACTTAATGCTAAATCTTTACCTTGGTAGATTAATTCAAACTCTTTATAACTTATCATTTAATTCTATGCATCAAACCCTAAGCTAAAAACCAACCTAATGGAATATGGTTCATACTCTGCAGTAACACTTGATCCATTTCTTTACTCTGCAGGTATAATCAGTAACTCTGGCTATTTAGATTGTAATCTTTAATGCTCTGTATCTGTCATCTCAAGTAACAGTGCTTACGTTATAATTAGCTTGCTAAGTGGTGTCTGTCACCACAGAAAACATTCATGCCCATCTTTAAAATACACTCACTCATCCACTATTCCTAAGAAACAGGGAAGGAGAAACTATTCTCATGCATTAAACCACCACCTGCAGAGACCACTGCAGAGGCCTGCAGTGTAAATGTGTAGTAGCTTCCACAGGGTCTTTAAAATAACAGACTTTTAAACATATATACCATAAGGACCTCTTAACTCAGTAGGAATACCATAGCTTCATATAGACCCTAGACTATTTCATGGGTAGCAGGCTCCAAGAACTTCTAAGGCTGACAGTAGCCCAAGAGCAGGAGCCCTGGACATAACTGAAGTAATGGCAATAGCACAATTTGTAGTTCCCTCCCCAAGGAGGGGCCCTAAGAAAGTCTCCCCCAGCAGTCAGCAGGGGCTGTGTGGCCAAACATGTGGCTACTGGTATTTTTACCACATTGCCTGACACTGCCAAGCGTGTACAGACTGACAAGCCACAACCCCTCTGAGGTTCTTCCTATCTCTGTAACATCAGGGTAGACCAGCCCAGCTGATCTCATCGAAGGGATGAAGACATCGCTGTACCATACTTACAAATACAAACTTTCTCTCACTGTGTGCCAGAATTCAAGTGATGGGCCTGATGACTTTCAGTTAGCCTCTAGCATGGTATGACACGATCCTCACTAGAATCCTTAATGGGTCTAATCTGTAACACTACCAATTTACTTTCATCTTATTTATGAGGAAGGGCTGATCTGAACAAATGCAGAAAGTGATTCTGGTGCACAGTGATCCAGACATGTTTCCCGATAGAGGACAGCGGCCAGCTGAACCAACAGACTCATCCCTTCACCACAGTCACCATAACTGCACACTCAAAAGTCACAAGCTAGGATTCGAGAGCAAAACCAGCTTACAGATGTTTCAATGCAGTTTATACAGTGTTTTAAGGGATCTAAACTATTTGTCAATGTTTAAATGTTAGGCTATTTGACCCCAGAATCTGCATTCCTGGATTATGTGACAATACAGGAATATCTGCCACTCAAATGAGACATGTCCTCATGGCTGCAATCAGGTGGTTCTGCTGTAGAGGAGGAAATGCCTTCCCAAATGTCTCAGTACTCCCCAGGTCAGCTCCTTCACCGCTGTGAATTCAGGCCTCTCTGGCTATCCTGTCTGAGATCCTAACACTGCTTCTAGTCCTTGAAACAAAAACCTGTAGCCTCATCTCATTAGTACTATGTCCAAGTACTTTGAATAGACCCAAAGAGGAACTTGAGTATAAATCATTTTCACAGTTCTATGCTGGTACAGCTTCTACGGGTGAGTTCATTTTTAAACACATTATTTTTGAACGTGATTAACTTAACACCTTTAGTTATAGTAAGCTGTTCTCTCTAGTTAAGCAGGTCCTTTTCAAATTGAATGTCCTTAGTATGTAGACCTTAGTAGTTACACCGTGCCATGGGTAAATGCCCTAGCTTAAGGAAGGTAACAGAGATTCCAGCTTTATAGCCCCAAGGCTGAAGTGCTATGTACTTCTGCTATGCACTTTGTAACATTTTAGAAAAATATTTTGACAATTTCTGCATTCCCATCAACTTAAGAGTACACAACAGTTGAAAGGCTCTAAAAAAGGACTTTAAATTCGACACAGCCTTGAAACAGATATTCAAACAACCACATGCCAACTGCCTCTTACCCCGGTCTCGCTTACCCATTGCACTGAGATAATGGTTGAAGGCCTGGCAAGGAGGACTTGGGGTTTGTGTTGATTTGTCACAACTCATGGGTGCCGGGCTCCTGTCTGTGTCAAAAGAGAAATACCCACTGGAGGATCGAGACAGCAGGGAAGATCTTCTCACAAAGATGAAAAGCGGGGATCTGGTAGCAAAAGGGCCAGGGCTGGCCGGTGGGGCCAGCGGGCCCTGTGGGCTGCCGTGTTCGCCTTCGGGACTGCCTTCGGGATTACCTTGGGGCTCCGTCTGTAGGGAGGTAGGGGCCCCAGGCCTGAGCTGGGGTGGCCTCTCAGCAGGCTGCAATTGTCCGCCTTCTCTGTCACACTCACAACTTACATCGGAAGGTTGCTTGGCCATTTGGTCTTTTTTTCTGCAAGTAAAAGAAACAAATCTAAGGTTATCCAGCACAAGAGTAATTATAGTGAAATAAATCTGCAAACCTTCACTTATTAAAAATATGTAAGTGTTCATCCTAAATACAGTACATTAAAATAAAGTTTTGAAGTTGTTTACTTCTCTAACAATCTCTGAAATAAAAAATACACTTAAAATAACGAACGTATGATTATCGTTTCTGGCGGTGGTGGTGGTGGAGAGGTGGAAATAAACCACCAAAGAAAACAGCAACAATGTCAATCACTCGTGAAACTGGTACTTCTATGTAAACAAATACGCAAGTTGCAAGAGCAGCAGTCCGTCTGAAGCCTATTCACATGTGCTTTCTGCTCAAGACGGACTTGAATTAAGTTAGAAACTCCCAGCGGGCTCTGATTTCCCGGGATCAGATACACCGTGCTGGAACACAGCAGCAGGCGCAGATGCAGCGATTGCAGGCTGCTGCTGCTGGCCGAGTTCCCTGCTCCGGCCCCATTGTTCGCCGAAACTGCTGAGGGCAGCAAGTCTGGGGAAGGTTTGGCAGCGGCCGTCAGCCGTAGTAAGTGCGTCACAATAGAGTTTGTAACTCCGAGCTGCTCGGCCCGGCCCCAACACTCTCCGCCCCCGTCCCTCCGGGTCCCGCCAGTGCGCGCACCGAACCGGACAGAACTTGCCCGACCTGCAGCCATCCTGCTAGGTGCACCGCTCAAAGTGCGGGACCCCCTCCCCCGAGCCATCCTGACCCCCGTGCAAAGTCCACAACTAGCCCCGCGAGCTCCGCAAACTCAGGCGCGCCGCCTCTCCAGCCAGATCCCCCACCACCCCGAGGCCACCGCACCGCCACTCACGTCCTCCCCTTCCCTTCCGTGCGTAGCGTCCGCGTTCCTGCCCGGGCCCCTCGGCGTCCAACCCTCGACCTGCGCCGACCCAGCGTTCCCTGATTGTCACCGTGGAAGCGGCGCAGGGGACTAAACCAGGCGCCCAGGTTCAGAGCCTCCAGCGCAGCGAAGAGCCCACGCCTTCCCGCCCACCCGCCGCCACGATG